TTATCGTTTAAATCAAACAAAATTAATAGTATTACATCACATAAAAAGTGCAACTAAGTGCCAACTTATCTTCAACATGACAACATTCCAATATCTGTCATCCATACTCTATTTTCTGTTTCTACAGAAACAATGAATCTTTACAGAACCGCTCTCTTTTTCTCTTCTTTACTTCCTTATTGTTTAATTCTCTTCCAAAAAAACAAAAATTGATATAGATCGTAGTACTAAATCACAACCCAATAGAATACTGATGTTTCTCACACACATTATCCAACCTTTGTGATCCCTCACAAACCCAGTGCCTAACCAATTTGCCCTCCAGAGGATTTACTCTCCTTCCCAGAACCAGACGCAACATTTTTTTTGTGTTACGGCTCTGCGTTACTTTAACTGACAATTGCGAGGTCATGCAACGACTGTACCAATGCAATTTATGTCCTTTTTTCCCACAAATTGAGCTTTCTTTAGGGTGGTATTTGATTGCCCTGTGCGGGTTTTTTTTACGCTATAAGCAAAAAAAGACCAACAATTTTTGAGAAAAAATACAATATTTTGGACTTTTTGCTATTAAAACATTACCAGTAATAAAAAATCTTCAGATCCAAACTTCATCATAAGTTTTAAGCCAAAATGTATTCTGCGACATGTCTTTGCTAAAAAAAAAAAAAAAATCCCATACGTGGAAATTAATTGGTTTACGTGTACGTTATAGCATTTACAAATGGCGGTATAGATAATAGGTTTTTTTTTCCTACTAGTAATGGATGGCCAATAGCAGCGACTTTTAGCGGGATTGTGGCAGACATTCTGACACTGGGGGGAACTAACTTCAGGTGTCCACTGACACCCCAGTGACAACATTACAGTGATCAGTGCTAAAAAAAAGCACTGACACTGTACTAATGGCACTGGGCAGGAAGGGGATAATGTGTGATGGGCAATTTAAGGGTTAACTGTGTGCTGGGAGTGTTTTACATAGGGGGCGGGGGATGTGTTTCTTAGTTGTCACCCACCTCCTTATGACTCATGCAGCTTTCCAAATCCTCCTAGGAACTCTGGAGCATAAACAATCTCATAGCACCACCGCTTCACCTCCTATATTTGCCTCTATCGGCGGTTTTCCACTTTGATTGTTATCCATATGCAACCATAACAAAATAGGCAGTCCATAGTATAGCAAAATTAAAACAAGCTGATTTATTGTTAAAAAAAAGCGCTTACTATGTTAAAAGAAAGCTAGCATTCAACATCTGGACCGGACCTATACCAAGATGGACACCGCTAGACTTATGATTTGCGTTTGGGACCTCACTACTGACGCGTTTCGGCATTATTACTTTATCAAAGGATGATGCCACACTGGAGGATCTCTACATATTCTTGTATACATAATTCTACACATCACATTATACCAACAATAATGTGTTCCATATCTAACTATAAAATAATGGAATATTATACCGGGATTTAACCACTAGAGGGACTGCCCTCAGTATACATATACTGCGGCAAGATGCCCCTGTAAGCAAGATCATGTTAATATAAATGTGATCCTGCGTTTCCTGGTAGGGGCGCACTCGAGGCGTGTACCCCAGGGGACCTCCCTACCCATGCCCACTGATCGTGGGCCCAAGAGTCAATCACTGACAGGGAGGGAGGGCTGCTGTTAGGTAATGGACTGGCCAGCAATGGTGGGACTCACCTGCCTTTTGATCTGCAGTAAACCAGGGCTGGCCAGCGGGTGCTCCCAGCAATCAGAGGGACTCAACCTTTCAGCCAGCTAACACCTGGAACTGATGATACTGGGGTATTATTTAAGGGATGGCCAGACTTGCAGACTCTGCCCTTGGTGTTGTGTTTGTCTCTGGGCCCTGTATCTGTCCTGCATCCTGTTTTCTGGTCCTTTGCTGACCCTGATCTGAACTGCTGCTGACTTCTCCTGCTCTGATCCTGGCTTGTGACCCTGACCACCCCTCTGTCTGACCCTCTGTACCTCGCCCTGCTTGCCTACCTGCTGAACCTGGCCTGTGACCCCGACCATTCTCTGCTTGCTCCCCCTGTACCTACCTGCCCAATTGATATTGACCCGGCCTGCTGACGACGCTTGCTTGTATGTACTGTTATCTTTTGGTTGGGTGGTCTATGGTTGGGTTTGTTGTGCACTGTATTATGTTTAGTATGACCCCTGCGATTTATGTTTTTGTATGGTTAGAGTGTTAATAAATTATATTGTTTATCACATTTCTGAAGTCCCTGCGTTTCCCTGCATCAGTCACACATCTCTGGTCATACCTGGGAGCCTGACATTACACCCTAAGGCCAATCCTGACCAGAAGTGGCTGCACCGGGAATAAAGCCCATCTTGGCTTGTTGAATGGGAAGGATGGCATCTTGATGAGGTTGAGTATTTATATCTGCTAGTGTTTGCAATGACAGGGAGTATGGCTTATCAATAACTCTGAAGGAGTATACCCGGGATCAGAAATTGCTTAGATGTATATGTACTTTACACGGCTCGCTTCATGTTCGTAAGTATGATTGATCAGGGCACAGTGTATCATCTGAGGTGCAGCCATGCGATTGAGGTTTGTGCAGAGTTTTTTGGTTTCATCTGGTTCCCCCGAATGCAGGATGAATTTTTGCCACCATTTAGTGCAGACCAGGTAGAGTCCCTGGTGTGGTTATTAGAGGATGATGTGGGTTACTTTCTGGAGCGTTATTCCACATGTTCACCACAGACACTGAGAGATTGTATAAACGCAGTGCAGTCATTGACCTAGACAGGCTTTGTGTAAGCTCAGCTTTGGTCATCCCATACTGCAGACATGGACAGATTTGCGTTGCACCCAGCCTCAGTCAGCTTACAAAGACCCAGTCCTGCTTCTAACTCTACTCTCCTGTATTCCCACCAGCTCCTCCATGCCCTGCTATCCTACCGCATGTCAGTACCCTGTTCCCACTCGCTGCACCTATCCTCCTTTAACCCTGTAAAAGAGCCCTCTGAAGCAACTGCTCCCTCTCACTGTTCCATCCTCCAGTTTTTCTCTGTCTCCAGCTGCTACCATCTCGTTTGCAGACCTGCGTTTACTTGCAGTGCTCCAGTAGTTAAAACCAGAAAAAAAGCGAAAATTCTTTCCAACCAATACCATCCTGCCAGTATCCAAACCAGTGATGCCTGCCTTCCGTGGACTCGGCCTGAAGCCTCTACTCAGCCTGAAGCCTCTACTCGGCCTGATGCACCTCTCTCAGCCTGGAAGCCTCTCTTTCAGCCGGAATGCCTCTCTTCAGCCGGATGGCCTCTCTTCAGCCGATGCCTCTCCTCAGACCTGATGCCTGCATTCAGCCTGATGCCTAGCTACTCAGCATGATGAACTGATCCAGACCCGACGATCCTATTAGGCCAGTTGACTCGATCCCGCTGTTGATCCAGATGATCCGGTACCTGATCACCAGTGCCCACTGTCGTGGCAATTGACTCAGAGCCCGCTGTCATATCTGGTGACCCGGTGCCCACTAGCCTTGCCAGATGACGCGGTGCCCGCTGGCCAGCCAAAATGGACCTGATGCCTGGTGACCCAGTGCCCGCTGTCATACCTGGTGACACCCGATGCCCGCTGTCGAGCCAGACGATCCAAATGCCTGGTGACTCCAAAAAAAAAAAAAAAAAAAAAAAAACCCGGTGCCCACTGCCGTTGCCAGATGACGCTGTGCCCGCTGACAAGCCAAATGACTGATGGCCGTGGTGACCCAGGTGCCCCGCTGTTCATACCTGGTGACCCGATGCCCGCCTGTCGAGCCAGACAATCCGGTAACCTGATGCCACCGGTGCTCACTGTCCAGTGCCTGTTGACTCGGAGCCCACACTGCCTTGCCAGATGACGCGGTGCCCGCTGTCGAGCCAAATGACCTGATGCCTGGTGACCCAGTGCCCGCTGTCCAGTTCAGACGATCCAATGTCTTGACCCAGTGCCCGCGGTCATACCAGGTTGACTCGGAGCCCACTGCCTTGCCAGATGACGCGGTGCCCGCTGTCGAGCCAAATGACCTGATGCCTGGTGAACCCAGTGCCCGCTGTCCAGTTCAGACGAATCCAATGTCATGACCCAGTGCCCGCGGTCATACCAGTTGACTTGGAGCCCACTGCCTTGCCAGATTGACGCGGTGCCCGCTGTCGAGCCAAATGACCTGATGCCTGGTTGACCCGATGCCCACTGTCCCAGCCAGACCATACAATGTCCTGACCCAGTTGCCCTGCGGTCATACCAGTTTGACTCGAGCCCACTGCCTTGCCAGATGACGCGGTGCCCGCAGGTCGAGCCAAATGACCTGATGCCTGGTGACCCGATGCCCGCTGTCCGGTCAGACGATCCAATGTCTGACCCTAGTGCCCCGCGGTCATACCAGTTGACACTCGGAGCCCACTGCCTTGCCAGATGACACACGTGCCCGCTGTCGAGCAAATGACCTGATGCCTGGTGACCGCGATGCCCGCTGTCCAGCCAGACCATACAATGTCTGAACCAGTGCCTGCGGTCATACCAGTCTGACTCGGAGACCCACTGTCGTGCCTGGTGGGACTCGGTGGCCCGCCGCTCCGCCTGGGGGCCCGAGACCTGTTGCTCCGCTTGGGGGTCCAGCCGCCCGCCGCTCACCGCCTTGAGGGCCCGAGACCTGTCGCATCCACCTGGGGGTCGCGGCGCCCGCCGCTCCGCCTGAGGGCCCGAGACCTGATCGCTCCAATCTGGGGGTCGGAGCGCCCGCGTGCCCGCCCCAAACATTTTTCCGCCTGAGGGCCCGAGAACCTGTCGCTCCTCCTGGGGGTCCGGGCGCCCGCCGCTCCGCACTATGGGCCCGAGACCTGTCGCTCCGCCTGGGGGTCCGGCGGCGGCCGCCGCTCCGCCTGAGGGCCCGAGACCTGTCGCTCCACCTGGGGGTCCGGCGCCCGCCGCTCCGCCTGAGGGCCCGAGACCATGTCGCTTCCTCCCGGCGGGGGTCCGGCGCCTGAGGGCACCCTCCGCCTGAGGGCCCGAGACCTGTCGCTACCACCTGGGGGTCCGGCGCCCGCCGCTCCGCCTGAGGGCCCGAGACCTGTCGCTCCACTGGGGGTCCGGCGCCCGCCGCTCCGCCTGAGGGCCCGAGACCTGTCGCTCCACCTAGGGGGTTCCGGCGCCCAGCCGCCCCCAATCCGCACTGAGGGCCCGAGACCTGTCGCTCCTCCTGGGGGTCCGGCGCCCGAGCCGCTCCGCCTATCGAGGGCCCGAGACCTATGGGGCACGATGCCTGTCGCCCCGCCTGGGGGCACGATGCCTGTCGCCCCGCCTGGGGGCACGATGCACCTGTCGCCCCGCCCGGGGGGCCCGTGCCTGCTGCCCCGCCCGGGGGCCCGGTGCCTGCTGCAGCCCGCCCGGGGCCCGGTGCCTGCTGCCCCGCCCAAGGGGCCACGGTGCAACTGCTGCTCCGCCCGGGGGCCCGGTGCCTGCTGCTCCGCCCGGAGGGGCCCGGTGCCTGTCGCCCCCGCCCGGGGGCCCGCTGCCTGCTGCTTCGCCTGGTATTCCGATGTGCCACTGCCCGGAGTCCTGCCCGATGTGCTCTGCCCGAGTCCATGCCCGACTGTGCCTCTGCCCGATGTGCCTCTGCCCGATGTGCCTCTGCCCCGATGTGACCTCTGCCACGGTGTGCCTCTGCCCGATGTGCCTCTGCCGATGTGCCTCTGCCCCGATGTGCCTCTGCCCGGAGTCCTGCCCGATGTGCCTCTGCCCGGTGGTGCCTCTGCCCCGGGAGTCCTGCCCGTGTGCCTCTGCCCGGAGTCCTGCCCGATGTGCCTCTGCCCGGTGTGCCTCTGCCCGGAGTCCTGCCCGATGTGCCTCATGCCCGATGTGCCTCTGCCCGAGTCCCTGCCCGATGTGCCTCTGCCCCGGTGTGCCTCTGCCCGGAGTGCCTCTGCTCGATGTGCCGCTGCACCGGAGTCCTCAGCCCGGTGTGCCGCTGCCCGGAGTCCCTGCCCGGTGTGCCAGTCTTTGCTATCCCGCCAGTTGCCCAGACCTTGCGGTGGAACATATTTTGCCCAGCTAGGACTGTTTGGAGCGTCCTGAGGGCCGCTCCTTGAGGGGGGGGTACTATTAGAATGGACTGGCCAGCAATGGGTGGGACTCACCTGCCTTTTGATCTGCAGTACCAGGGCTGGCCAGCGGGTGCTCCCAGCAATCAGAGACTCAACCTTTCAGCCAGCTAACACCCTGGGTAACTGATGATGACTGAGGGTCTTTAAGGGATGAAAGCCAGACTTGCAGAATCTCAGCCTTGGTGTTGTGTTTTGTCCTGGGCCCTGTATCTGTCCTGCATAACTGCGTTTCTGTTCCTTGCTGACCCTGATCTGAACTGCTGCTGACTTCCTGCTCTGATCCCTGGCTTGTGACCCTGACCACCCTCTGTCTGACCCTCTGTACCTCGCTGCTTGCTACCTGCTGAACCTGGCCTGTGACCCCCGACCATTTCTCTGCTTGCTCCCCTGGTACCTACCTGCCCAATTGATATTGACCCGGCCATTGCCGACGACGCTTGCTTGTATGTACTGATTATCTGTGGGTGGTTGGTTGGGTTTGTTTGCACTGTATTAATGTTTAGTATTGCCCTGCGTTTAATGTTTGTATGGTTAGTGTTAATAAAATTATTATTGTTTATCACATTTCTGAAGTCTGCGTTTCCCTGCATCAGTCACACATCTCTGGTCATACCTGGGAGCCCGACAGCTGCATTGTTTGCTCTCCTCCCTGTCCAGTTTGGGCACACTGCTGGGGAGGCGAGGCTGAGCACAGCCCTCCCGATCAATGTGCTTATAATTTGAAGCACACACCCCAACACCCCTAGAGAAAACAACTCCCATCACACAGTTATACCCTTTGATAGCCTCTCATTTGTTAAAATTATAAAATTAAACCCCTTCCTCCCCATGTGCCATTACTACAGTGTCAGTGCATTTTTTTTTTTTTTAGCACTGATCACTGTATTGGTGTACCCCCACTGGGGATACCAGTGACCCCAAGTCAGTTCCCCCCCCATGGTGTCAAGAATGTCACGCTATAAGTCACTGATCGCCACCATAAAAGTCGCTGATCACCGCTATTATTAGTTTTACAAAAAAAAAATACAGTATACCGCCATTTGTAAACACTATAACTTTCAGGTAAAACCAATTAATTTACATGTATTGGGATTTTTTTTTCAGCAAAGACATACAGAATAAATTTTGGCCTAAATGTACAATGATAAAATTTGATTTTTAAATTTTTTTTCTCTGGACTGCCTTTTATTCTTTCTCAAAATTGTCGGTCTTTTTTATACAGCGCAAAAATACCACTGAAAGAAAGCTTAATTCCATGGAAAAAAAAAAAGACGTAAATTTCATTTGGGTGCAGCGTTGCATGACCGCGCAATTGTCCAGTTTAAAGTAACGCAGCACTTCCGCATTCTGTAACTGCTCCATGACTGGCCCTATAGCAGAAATACTGCTATAGGACAGCACGGGTGCGGCAAATCACGTATATACACATGATTCACGCTCCCGTCGGTTTTTCACAAATTCTGCAGCACCCATACTTCCCCAATTCACTGACTCAAACCTGGAATTCAGTGGAAACAACAAATTTAACTACTCCCCTTTGATTTTTTGGCAGCTTTTTTTCACAGAAGATTTGTATGCATTAATTGTGGATCAAAGCAATTTATATGCACAACAATTTATCGCAGTCAACCCAAATATCAAACCTTGCCAGACCCATTCGCATGGAAACCCAATACGTTTCCGAATTTACATTTTTTTGGCCCTAACCCTCAACATGGCATTACTAAAAAAATGGAATTTAATTTCTCGCGCGTTGTATTGGATCCACAGATCCGATTCATTGTTCTCTGCTGCCATGGCCAGGCATAGATATGAGAGTATAATGTGTTTTATATGCGGTTTTTTTTTAAACGATAACACACTCTGTCATCCTTGGGGTGACCACTGAATTTGACAGGCTCTGCAAAATCCGGCCCCTCGCTTAAAATCACCTGAACCAAAAATTAGAAGATGTCCTATAATCTCCAGCAAAAACATCTGCGTTGATGAGTCCCTCATTAAATTCTTCTGACCGCCTTGCATTCAAACAATTTCTCCCCAGCAAGCGTGAAAATAAGGAATATGGGGTCAAGATGTATGAAGAAGACCTGTGAGAGGACAACAGGCTATACTTATAAGTATTGGATTTACCAAGGGAAAAGATAGTTCACGAGGAGCCCCCCCAGATGCCCAGACTACATGGGGAGCAGATGGAAAGATAGTTTGGGACTTGGGTGTCATCATTTCTCCATATGGGGATACCACTTAGACGTGAACACATTTTTATTCAAGCGTGCCACTTATTTGGACTGTGCAATCTTGGAATGGCACTGTGGTACTGTGCGATCTAATGTGTGCACCACCATTAGAAGTGCAGTGGGTGCAGGCAGTATATTCTAATGGTGGACATACCACACACTTTTTCTGGCAGAGATTTCTTCTTTTTTTTTCATTCAGCCCACAGGCTGCATACACAAAAAAAAAAAAAAAAAAAGAACATAGCATATATACCCAACAAGGACCAGTGACTGATTTTTTTACCAAGAACATGGTAGCAGAATACAGTTTTGGCCTAAATTTATAACTAACTTTGAGTTTACTATATTTTTTTATACCACCTCTATGCTGATGACACCCAGATTTATAATCTTCACTCCCCAGCTCACCCCCTCAATCTCCTACCTCCTACATCACTACACAACTCAATCTTTCAAAAACCGAGCTTGTAATATTCCTCCTCCTCCCGATCCCCAACTCACAACTTTACCATTAAGACATTCAACAGCACAACTATTGGATCCTTCCCCTCATGCCAGGAGTGCTAGGCATAATCCTAGACTCTGACCTCTCCTTTGGGCCCCACATCCACTTTCACAGGGCTAAATCCTGCCTCCTCAACCTCCAGAAACATTTCCAAAATCCAAACCCTTCCTGACCAAATGACACCGCAAAACAACTTATCCACGCCTTGGTTATATCCCTCCTTGATTACTGCAACTCCCTCCTCACTGGTCTACCGTGTACACAGGGCTATCCCCCCTTTCAAGTCTATTATGACTGCTGCTGCTAGACTCATACACCTTACTAACCGAATCAGCGACTGCATGCCCTCTCTGCCAGTCCCTTCATTGGCTTTCCACTAACCCTAACGTCTAAAATTCAAAATACTAACCACACCACAATACAAAGCCATCCACAACACTGCCCCTAACTACATCGCCAACCTCATCCACAAGATACCGCCCAAATCGCCCACTCCGCTCCTCCCATGATATCTTCCTCTCTAGCTCCCTTATCACCACTTCCCACGCTCAGCTCCAGGACTTCTCCAGAGCAGCTCTCCCATCCTCTGGAACTCCTTACCACAGCATGTCCGGTCAGCCCCCACCCTGTCTATCCTTTAGGCGATCTTTGAAAACTCACTTCTTCAGGTGAAGCCTACCCCACTCCACCTAAGAAACTGTAATTGAATCACCTCCACCAGATCATCCCCCGCAGCTATCACCTTTTGTATCACCTCCCCCTTCCTTTAGATTGTAATCTTCACGAGCAGGCCCTCACATTCCTTCTGTACTGAAATGTATTGTAATTGTCACTGTCTCCCTTATATTGTAAAGCGCTGAGCAAACTGTTGGCGCTATATAAATCCTGTATAATAATATAGCCGAAAGTAAACAAATATCGATTTTTCTTCAAACTTTTTCGTTCTTTTTTTGTTTATAGTGCGAAAAATCTAAAAAGCGCACAGGTGATCAAATATCACTGAAAGAATGGCTCTATTTGTGTGAAAAAAGGACATAAATTTTGTTTGGGTACAGCATTGCA